GAGACACATCTTTGTCGTTGTGGATAGGTTTAGTTATACCACTAGTACCTCCGCCAGTGCTGGGAAATTAGGGAAAAGTGGACGTTTTCCCATTTCCCCAAAGAGTTCGGAGGTACCACAGGCTCAGCATCAGTTGTATTTCCCATTACCAAAAAAAAGAAAAAAGAGAAGGAAGGAAAGAAAGGAAGGATGTGCTCACATCAGAACTCAAAGGAACGCATCTACCCAGAAACATAGCCAGTTTTGTTTTTGTATGTGTTTTGCTTTCTTTTTTGGTGATCCGCGTTTCGTGCCCTGCCAATGAGAGGCAAGGCGCACTCCATGGGCAGCTGACACTTCGCAACGGGAGGCGCATTCTCACTCGTACTCCAGATTCTGTATCCAACTTCTTTCACGTCCAAAGTGTTGTTGCTGAATTTTTGCTTTTTTTCTTTTGTCTGTTCCTGCTGCCCTGATTTCAGCAGAGCTGTAACGCCCGTTGAAGGTCCATACTCTGACATGTACCCCATAATCTGCATCTGGCTGCTTTCACGTCCCTAGCGTAGTTGATTTTTTTTTTTTTTTTTTTTTTTTTTTTTTTTTTTTTTTCGATTTCGAAGAGAAGCATAAAAGAAAACACAATGGGACCCAAGCTCGGCAACTTTCGGTGCGCAGTGAAATTCAGGGTTGGCAAAAACAGGATGGTGTGAGGCACGGGGCCTCGGTATGCCCTACAGGGCCTATTTTCCACACAGTCGGCCGCCCTAAGTGAAGGCAAGCGCGACCGAGGCCTACAGGCCATTTTGGGGTCGCCACGCAAGTGGGGAAATTCAGGCAGTTGCGCAGCGCCAGTTGGTTGGAAGCGCCCAGGCCCAGGCTGCCTTTTATTGCATGTAACTAAGGCAGGCCCTGGGCCGGATACACAACATGGACTGAACAAAGGCCGAGCGCAGTTGGGTGCTGGTAACCACCACAGGCCCTTGGCCTGTTTACTTCGGACTGAGGCTCAGCCTTGTGGGGGCCTACCGGAAGCTTCTAGGCCAGGGCCCAGTACTGCATTACCGCACGTGGCAGCAGGCCACTTTCGATATAGAGAAGGGCCTGCCTATGCATTGGACATTCGGGTACTGGCTGCATGCTGCGCAATCGCTGCTGCGCTAACGCTGGCCAGGCTCACGCGCTCACGGGCGAGCTGGAAGGAGCAGGCAGCCATAGCCGAGCTGCGCTGCTGTATGCTGGATGGGGCGTATGGTGGTCCTTGGGTGCATGTGGCATCTGTGAGTTGGGGAACGAGGTTGTGAGTGATACGAGAGACATACTTGGTGCTTGAAGTGTACGGCATTGTCCGAGATCTGCTCGTACTTCGGGGAGCTGTTGACGTCATCAGCGGCATCGTAGAGTAGTCTAGATAGGATCTGCCATCTGTAGTCTAGGCGCCGAGCGCAAGATAGGATATCAACATTGGTTCTTCGCTGATGATGATGAGACTATTCCAGCATTTTCAATTATGAGTTTTTGGTGTGCCCTTACTTGGTGAAACTCGTGATGCAATTCTGCTATTGGTTCGAGGTCACGACTATCTGGTCTCATGTGTATGATGCTGTTTGATTTCCGAAGTTCGCTATTGCTCATCTTCCTTGCAATTTGGTATCGGAATTGTGGTTCGGTGCGCTAATCTGGCGCTTGTCTTCTGCCTAATGCGGTACATGAACGCGGTGTGTGCGGTGAGCGACCGTGTAGTGGGATTTGTGTAGTGAGGAGGGCAAAGATAAGTAGGCGACCCAGGTGGAGAGGGGATCGCCAGGAAGGCTAAGTGGTGAAGATTGGGTGTTCGCAATGTTGAGAACTATCAGGTGTGTGATTTATGCTGAGGTGGAACTGTGGTGCAATGCTGGTTGTGTCGAAGCAGCGATTGGTCATCACAATCAACATCGGGTCATCTCGTGAGAATATTTGTGGTTGGCAACTATTTTGAGGTACGTTGCACCTAACCTTATCTACCCTCTTCAACACTTCTTACCGTGAGGATGTGTGTTTTGTCTTGAGAATCCTCTCATGTGAGGAGTCGTGTGCACTCAACCTTGAGAGTCGTCAGTCTTCACATGGAGCATCTGGAAGGAGAGGGCGGTGCTATCTGAAGGGCCCTGGACGAAGCACTGGGTCATGGCCACCATGCCAACCCATCGGGAGTAGAGCACTCATGCTTTGCTGCTTTGTCCTTTGTCTGCTCGCTGCGTTGTAGAGGGGTTTTGAAGGGCAGGCCAACCCTATGGGACAGGCTAGACCCGGCGTCTATAAATGAGCACCGACGGGGTACCTTCCATTGGTTGTGATCGTTGTCCTGTTTGCGACGTTAAATAATTCTTGAGGACCTCGGGGGCCGTCCGTAAAAACGCCCCGTGATCAGCCAATCGGTCGGTATAAGGCTCGCTGCACGCGAGGATAAAGACTGTGCAGGGCTGGCCAGCCCAACAGGGCTCGGGTCACAGGGGTGGGCCGTGTGCACACCTTTAGACACGCAGGCTATCTAGATTGCTCAGGGACCTTGGCGACAAGAGACATTCAGGAAGAACTGAGGGAGGGGTAGATTCCAGGTGATAAGTTTGGGCAAGATTCCACTCTGCAAACAGACCCAACAAATGATTCTATTTTTATTTTGATTAGTTAGATGTACAACCATTAACATCTGATAGACAACATAGTTTAAAACTGTTTTCTATTCATTGTGCTTCTGTTTGCGAACTAGTAAAAGTCAAAGTAGTTTCGTTTGTAGGAACTTGAACTTACTTGTTGGACCCAAACGTATATATTCTCTGACGCAGCCACCGATTAATTAGTTTAATTATTATAAATCGGTCTGTGCACTACGCTGTGGTAAGCATCAAAGAGTGACTTAGTGCAGATTGTGTACAGTTTTGTAGCTTATGAGCGATAGGGATACCACTAGCGAGGACGACCGGATCTTGCGATCGGCTAGACGCTCGATTGTCCACGTGGCATTAGGACCCGAGGGTGATAGGTTACTGTTCCGCCAGCTTAGGGAGAGGCAACAGCAGCAGCGGAGAGCTAGGGCAGCGGAGGCCAGCAGGGCATTCGCAAGTGAAGCCGCTGCTTCAGCAGCCATGGCAACCGCTGCGCAGTAGAGTTCCTAGGCCAGCAGTTCAGGGGCTGTGGGGTCAACGATCGCGCAGACCTTGAGTCAGTCCACTGGCGTCATGGCAAGCCAACCATTAGTGTTGACTTCCGATGAGATTGCCATACAGCAGGCAGCACTGCAGGAGGCACAACTATAGAAGGCCTTAGTGTTGACTTCCGATGAGATCGCCATACAACAGGCAGCACTGCAGGAGGCACAACTACAGAAGGCCTTAGGAGAGAGAAAGGCTGGGAAGGAAAAAATGGTTAGAAGAAGAGTCAGGATGCAGTGAAGACAAGCGGGCCTCAGTGAGTTAGAGGGAATGGACTTTACGCACATTGATGCACACGTGAGGACGTTGCGGACAGTCCTGCTAGGTGTTGTAGAGATGCAGGACCACCACATGGCTCTCCTTCAGGACATCCAGCAGAGTCTGGCCTTGCTGGTCGGGCGAGCGCAGGCAGCACCATCGCTGTCCGGGCCTGGTGCCTGGCCTGTTGTACAACCTCCTCCTTATGTCCCACTGGTGACCGGGATATCCCCATATGTCTCCCTAGCATCGGTCCAAACCGTTTCCCTGGTATGCCGTTAGCAGAAGGGTTCTCAGCAGGTCCTAGTGTACAGGTTCCTGTACAGACAATGTTCTCCTAACCTCCGTCGCAGGTTGCCGTAAGCGGGCAGCCTACTGTCTCGCAGCTTGCACAGCCGCAGGGTACACAGCCCCACCAACAACTAGTTTAGTAGGCTGGGTCCACAGCCCGGAATGGTGCAGGTATCGGGACAAAGTCAATGGGTTCCAAAGACGGCCATCGCTGCTCCTAAAAACTTTACAAGGGATAAGCGGGCGAAAACCTCGACACATGGTTGAGGGCGGTGCCAGTCTATGTTAGGTGTAAACCTACCTTGCCGCACAAGGAAGTGCTTGTGGCTGCCTCCTATCTAGAGGGGAGTGCAGCAAGATGGTTGAGCGGTTTAGTGCAATTACAGGGATACGGTCATGACTTCCGCGCTTAGGCAGTTAACTAGAAATTGGATGACTTCCTCAAGATGGTGGAAGACAGGTGGCATGATCCTCAGGAGGCCCAAAAGGCCACTGATGTAATCCTGACTCTACATACTTGGCAGTTTAAGTCAGGAAGGGAAGCCACAGACGTAGTAGACCGTCTGATCTGTGTCCTTGGGGTGCTTTCCTATGCCTCTCAGGAATCAGTTGGCAGGTGAGGCCAACATCAACATGCACAACTTCCCCTCGTTTAGCAAGAAGGCCCTAGACTTGGAAGCAAAGATAGGGCATGGTCAGACACCCACGACGGATGGTAGGAAAAAGTCACTGCCTTCCAACTGGAAAGCAAAGGGACGCATCATGTTCGTCGACAACGATGGTTCCACCATCGAGTTGGACAACGACTTCCAGGCGGGAGTGGGTTTAGAGGCTGGCAGCGTAGAAGCTTCAGGGGGTGGAGTAGTTGTTGTCGTAGCTCAAAAAGGTAAGGCGACCGGTAGACGTCGTGGAGGTTCCCGGTCTAGGAGTCAAGTTGACCCCAATGCTCCTCCATGGGAGAAAGCGGGTCTCAGTGAGGACGTGTGGAGAGATCGGTACACGCGGCAGGCTTGTATCCGTTGTGGTCAATATGGCCATAACCAGTTCCAAGTGCCGAAACAAAAAGGTGACCGAAAAGATCCCACCTACGATGGGGCAGGCGTTGGGATCCTCCGCTCCCGTCAGCAACAATGTGGCCAGCAGTTCTGGCACTGCTCCGGGAAACGCGTCGGGCCAGTAGGAATAGTAGCTGCTCCTGCTGGGGTCGAGGTGGTGGACACACCCTCACCAGCTCGAGAGATGGCCCAAGCTATTGACTCCATCGATGTCCCGCAAACACATTCAGACCCATCGAGCCTCTGTTCGATGAATGTGTTTGAATCCTTAGAGGAGCTAGACGAGGAGTGGTCTAGATCAGACCTCCTAGCTTCTTGGATGACATTAGCTAAAGCCCCTAAGGGAGAGAAGTTCGTCGGCGAGGTAGTCATCGGCGCCCGCAAGGCCGGGGCCTATTATGACACTTGCCCAACAAGGAACTTCATTAGTTACGCGTGCGTTGAGAGACTGCGCTTACAGGGGCAAGTGCAGCGCCTGAGTCAACCTGTGGAGTTGCCCAACAAACAGTGCATGGTAGTTAATGACTACCTCCAGGATGTCGAGTGTTGTTTCCCGTACGGGGGAGGGGAACTCCGACATCGCGTCTCGTTCCTAGTCAGCGATGATCTCCCAATTGATATCTTGTTGGGTATGTACTATCTTTCGGTTGCACAGCCCCAGTTTGACTGGGACCGAAAAGTGGTCAAGCACATTTTTCCAGGTGGAGGGACCGCCAGATTACGTAAGTTTAAGGCTAGTAGTCTGATCGAGTCCTACGGATGCATGTGTGCCGCCGCGTTTTACAACTTTTATGAGCAAGATCCGGAGGAGGGTATGTATCTAGTTTGTCTCTGCAGGAGGCGAGCCGGTGGAAAGGGGGAGGTCGTCCACGCTATAGAGATTATCCCAGGGTCTAGCATCTCGAAGGGGAGGATCTATCGGATGTCTCCAGGCGAGCTTGACGAGCTTCGCCGCCAACTCAAGGAACTCATAGAGAAGGGTTGGATCCGGCCGAGTGTCTCCCCTTATGGATCTCCAATCTTATTTGTGTCGAAGAAGGGGGGAACTTTGAGGATATGCATTGATTACAGGGGCCTCAATGCCATCACTGTGAAGAACCGAGAGCCCCTGGCACGCATCAACGATTTGCTAGATAGAGTGCAAGGGCGTCGGTACTCAAGTAAGATAGATCTGAAGTCCGAGTACCATCAAATTGCAATATGGCGCAAGGATCATCACAAAACCGCTTTTCAGACCAGGTACTGTCTATACGAGTTTGTGGTGATGCCTTTCGGCCTTTGCAATGCTCCTGGCACCTTTCAGCACGCTATGAATCGGATCTTTCATGACTACTTTGATAAGTTTGTCATTGTGTACCTCGATGACATACTTATTTTTAGCAGGATTGTCAAGGAGCACATTGCGCACTTAGATAAAGTCCTCACTCTCCTTCGGCGGCACAAGTTCAAGATCAATGGAGAGAAATGCGAGTTTGGTCGCACCCGGATTTTGTACTTGGATCATGAGATTTCCGCGGAGGGTTTGAAGCCCGATGACGCGAAGGTGGCCAGCATTTGTGACTGGCCGCGTCCTCAGTCTGTGACTGAGATGAGGTCCTTCTTAGGGATGAACGGCTACTATTGCAATTTTGTGAAGAACTATAGCATAGTTGCCGCCCCTTTGACGGACCTAACTCGCCTTGACACCCCATGGGACTGGACATACAAGTGTGAGGCTGCTTTCAGACATCTGAAGCATGCGTTGACACACCATGAGGTCTTGAAACTTCGTGATTCTGACAAGCCATTTATAGTTACCACTGATGCTAGCCAATATGGCATAGGCACCGTGCTCGCGCAGCAGGAGGGCCCAAAGTTGAGGCCAGTGGAGTACATGTCCAAAAAGATGCCCTCTCAGAAGTTGGCCAAGTCCACCTATGAGAAGGAGTTGCACTCGACTTATAAAGCGCTAACCCACTGGAGGCACTATCTCCTTGGGAGGTTCTTCATTGTCAGGACTGATCATCAGACCCTGCAGTGGATGAGAACTTAGCCAGTGCTCTCCGATGCGCTGAAACGCTGGATCAAAGTCATTGAGCAGTATGACTTCGAGCCCTAGTATCTCAAAGGTGAGTACAACAAAGTTGTTGACACGCTTTCGCGTAGGCCAGACTTCTCCGGTGCGCTGATCACTGAGTTTGGGCTTGCGGACGATGTCACTCGCTCGTTGGTGGAAACCTATCGTGAGGACCGGTTTATGTCTGAGATCATACGCAAACTCGAGGGGAAGGACAAGGTGACTTCTGCCGAGTTTGAGTTGGTCAACGGCCTGCTGTTCCTTGAGAAGGCCGGGAATAAATGAATGTGTGTTCCTAATAGAGAGTCTTTGCGTAGTTTATTTTTAGGAGAGTGCCATGATGCCACATGAAATTTTGGTTTCAAGAAGACTGCAGCCAATCTGTTGCAGCGGTTCTGGTGGCCCACGATGATGAGAGATGCCAAACTGTATGTCGAGACTTGTCAAGTTTGTCAACGTGACAAGCCCCGGACACAGGCTCCTCTTGGGCTGCTCAAGCCCCTTCCCATTTCGGGAAGGCCTGGTGAAAGCCTGTCCATGGACTTCATGGATACGCTAGTCACCAGCAAGAGTGGCATGAGGTACATCTACGTCATCGAGGATGGATTTAGTAAGTATGCTAGGTTAGTTGCCATGTCGGAAACAACAAAGACTGAGTACGTTATCAAGCTATTTAAGGAAAACTAAGTTAGAGACTTTGGCCTGCCGAAGTCTATAATCAGCGACAGGGATGTCCGATTCACCAGTGAACTGTGGAAGGCCGCGGCTGCCGAACAAGGAACGCAGCTGCAGATGACATCTGGGAACCATCCAGAGGCAAACGAACAGGCAGAGCAAATGAACCGAGCTGTTCAACACTTGCTAAGGCATTACATTAAGCCTAATCAAGTGGACTGGGATGAGAAGCTTGCTCTCATCGCCAGCCTATACAACAACACAGTTCATAGTGCCACGGGAGTAAGTCCTAATAGCCTACTTCTAACATCCAAACCCGGACTCCCCCTTGACTTTCTGCTACCTGAGAACCGGCCTACTGCTGCTCCAGGCACTTCGGAGTTCGCTTTTGGAGATGAGAGTCATATGCACAAAGCACAGGCGGCGATGATCGAATATGAGAACAAGCACCGTCGCCCATCTATGTTTCAGGTAGGGGATAGGGTCTGGGTCAAGGCTTCAGAACTGGGAGAGGAGCACGGGATTTATCATAAGCTCATGCCACAGTACTTCGGACCGTGGGAGGTTTTGGATGTAGTTGGGGTGAACCAGACGGACCCTCATATGTCATTCGGATCCGTGGACATCTTCGCACTTACCCTGTTTTTCACGCCTCTAAGCTTGCACCATTCAAGGAAACTGACCAGTTTCCCTCTCGACGCTCTATGCTGCCCCAAACCATGGATGGAGAGGTCGACATCAATGACATCGTTGATCACAGGGAGATGCCAGTTCCAAGACCGACAGGCAGAGGACGCCCTCCGAGTTCGGTTCAGACATCACACTGATCCAAAGGAGGATAGATGGTTCACATAGGAGGAACTGATGCAGACCGCTCCACAGGTTGTCGCTCACTACGAGAAAACTCTGCAGAAAGGAAAATGCCAGATTATCGAAGACTGAACTTCTCAGAAGACTATTGAACTATGGAAGAGGGAATGCGAGGCACAGGGCCTCGATATGCCCTACGGGGCCCATTTTCCTCACAGTCGGCCGCCCTAAGTAAAGGCAGGCGCGACCGAGGCCTACAGGCCATTTTGAAGTCACCACGCAACTGGGGAAATTCAGGCAGTTGCGCAGCGCCAGTTGGTTGGAAGTGCCCAGGCCCAGGCTGCCTTTCAATGCATGTAACTAAGGCAGGCCCTGGGCCAGATAAACAAAGTGGACCGAACAAAGGCTGAGGGCAGTTGGGTGCTGGTAACCACCACTGGACCTGGGCCCGTTTACTTCGGACTGAGGCTCAGCCTCGTGGGGGTCTACCGGAAGCTTCTGGGCCAGGGCCCAGTACCGCATTACCGCACGCAGCAGCAGGATACTTCGATATAGAGAATGGCCTGCCTACGCATTGGACAGTCGGGCACCGGCTGCATGCTGCGCAAGCGCAGCTGCGCTAACGCTGGCCAGGCTCACGCGCTCACAGGCGGTACACAGCTGCAGATGACCTCTGGGAACCACCCAGAAGCAAACGGCCAAGCAGAGCAGCTGAACCGCGCTGTGCACTACATCAAGCCCAATCAGGTGGACTGGGATGAGAAACTTGCTCTCATCACCAGCCTGTACAACAACGCTGTGCACAGCGCCACTGGGGTGAGCCCCAACAGTCTGCTACTGACTTTCAAGCCTAGGCTACCACTGGACTTCCTATTACCTGAGAACCAGTCGA